AGGTCTTACTAATGATTTGTATGGGGGGAAATGATATCTCTCTCTCTGGAGTCTATACCTCTTTTAATACAAGAGATTGAATAGAAGATTTGGTTATTAGCTGAGGGCAGGATAGGCTTCCCTGAAGAGATAGGTTTTCAGAGATCGCCTAAAAGTGGGCAGAGTAGGCGATAGTCAGGTAGACTGAGGTAGAGAGTTCCATAGGATGGGGGAGGCTCTGGAGAAGTCCTGAAGATGAGCATGGGAGGAGGAGACAAGGGAGCTAGAGAGCAGGAGGTCATTGGAGGAGTGGAGAGGAGGGTTTGGGTGATATTTGCAGACAAGATTGCTGATGTAATATAGGGCGGAGTTATAAATTGCTTTATATGTTATTGTTTTGAATTTTATCCGTTGGGCAACTGGGAAGCCAGAGGAAGGATTGGCAGAGAGGGATGGCTGATACAGAACGGTTAGTAAGGTGGATGAGTCTGGCAGCAGCATTCATGACAGACTGAAGAAGGGATAGCCTGCGATGAGGTCGGCCAATGAGGAGGGAGTTACAATAGTCAAGGCAAGAGATAACCAGGGAGGGAATAAGTTGCAGCAGCTGCACAACTTTCTCCACTTGTGTTATCCCATTGGTTTACTGTGAGAACATGAATGGCAAGAATAAAATTTGCAATAAAATAATTTAAAAAGTGCAGTGCTACAAATCATGAAACTTCAATTACAAGAATTGCTAATTAATAAATAATAGTGAATAGTATAAGTGATGATAATATAAAAGTCCAAACAAAGATGCTTCTATATAGAATTTCCTTCCTCCTGTGATCACCGAGTGCTCCAACCAAAGAAATGTGCACAATTCCTCCACCAGATGTCTGCTCACCTCCAGCAGCGACCTCACATATGATATGCTCGGTCTAATCGCACTTTTGGTCCCACAATGGATCTGAAGATCAACTTGATGAATAATTGATGTTGATATCTCGCTTCAAATGGACCCCCCCCCAGATGTGCTTCAGGCACATTTACACACCTACAGATTCATTGTGCATGCGTAAAGACAGAGTATGGAAATACCAACATATAGCATGCCTGCGCATGCATACACAAGATAATTTGTTACCTCCCTGGTGGTATTCCCGAGTGTAGCTCGGGGTAAAGTTTCAACACCACAAGCGGTAGCCCCGAGCTACACTCGGGAATACACTGCAGCGCTGCTCTGCGATCCCTCCAGCACTTACCTTGTCCTTCGCTTCCGCAATGTCCCCTCCTGCAGCATCCTCGGCCATCTCCTCCGTCTTCCGGGTTCCGTTCCCTGCGACGTCGGGACGTACGGGAGACGGAACCGGCAGGAAATTTAAAAATGTTAAAAAGTGACATTCACTAAATACACTAAAATCACATAGTATAACATTCCTGTATCAAACCATTTCACATACATTGTGTCCCGAGTGCTTTGTCCTGCGCCCTGCCTTCATTTTGACTGTTCTTTCTGCCTGGAAACTGAGAATTGTCCATGGCGTCCAAAAAGCGTCCCTTTAGGTCAAAAGCGATTTTAGACCGGCTAGAGAACAGCGATAGTAAATCAGAACCACTTGCAGAATTGAGTGATAATGATTCGTGGGGAAATTCGTCATCAGACATCGCCAAAATACGCACGTTCCTAACCCCAGAAACCACTAAACAGCTCATCCACTCCCTCATCATATCACGACTCGACTACTGCAACTCCCTCCTCACTGGCCTGCCTCACCGCAGGCTATCCCAGCTTCAGTCGATCCTGAATACGGCTGCCAGACTCATTCACCCTTCCAACCGCTCCTTTTCCGCCACCCCCCCCATCTGTCCATTCCCTCCACTGGCTTCCGATTGCGCAACGGATCAAATTCAAAATCCTAACACTGACATACAAAGCCGTCCACCATACTGCCCCAAACTACATCACTGACCTAATATCCAAGTACCGCCCAGCACGCACACTCCGCACCTCACAAGACCTCCTTCTCTCTAGTTCCCTGGTCTCTCCTCCTCCCATGCCCGCCTCCAGGACTTCTCTAGGGTGTCACCCATCCTCTAGAACTCCCTGCCCCAACCCATCAGATTATCACCTACTCTCCTCTCCTTTAGGCGCACCCTGAAAACCCATCTCTTCAGGGAAGCCTACCCCACCCCCTGCTAACTTGACCGACCTCCTCCACTCTCCCTACCACTCCATCCCCCACAGCTATCTCCTCCTGTAACACCATCCCCTCCCTCCTAGATTGTAAGCTCCAAAGAGCAGGGCCCTCAATCCCCTCATGTTTTGCATTGTATTGGTATTGTTCTGTCACATGTTCTGTCCCCCTTTGTAATATACAGCGCTGAGCGAACTATTGGCGCTTTATAAATACTGTATAATAATAATAATCAGACACTGAAAACGATTCTGCGACTTTGCTCAGTGATGTGTGGACTTGGCGCTATATTTCAAATTTCAGTGTTTTTGGTTTGATTACATTTTTGAATTAAATTTATTATTATTATATTATTTTTTATGATTATTTATTCAATTATAATTTATGATTTCGTGTTTAAAAATTTATCATCCCCGGGATGTTTACTAGACTCTTGTTCGGACAGATTTCAGTGAGTTATTCCTAAAAATTACAGGCCTACAATAAAAAAACAACACATTTCCATGCAAAAAAATGTACCGCTTTGAGCACAGAAATATGGACATAACCATTACCACTAGGGAGGCTAATGGACTTTCAAGGTGCCCAGGGACTACACATAAAACAAGTTACAAAATGACAAATTTATTACCAAGCTTAAAAAATCGCCATGGGCTTTATTTACTGAAGCTGGAGAGTGTAAAACCAAGCTCACGTCTGCAGAGAAACCAATCCGCTTCCAGGTTTTATTACCAAAGCTTAACTGAACAAGCTGAAGGTAGAAGCTGATTGGTTTCTTTGTAAAAGTGAGCCTGATTTTGCACTCTCCAGCTTTAGTACATAAACCCCCATAGATCTTAAAGAGCTGGTTTTACAGCCCCTTCCTCTTTACAGATTCCTGGACATATCCTGATCCTAATAAAGTACTTGAGACCACCTATAGACCTATAATTTCCAAAAATGTCCTAATAGACACAATATCAGTGATGTATTTAGGTTTCGTGCTGTGCTAGGCAACACAAAAATCCCCCCTCCCACGGAGAGACCCTGACACTGACCAACACTCCCCTCCCCCACGAAGAGAGCCTGACATTGACGAACACCCTAGCTCCCACCCCCCCACCTGAGAGAGCCTTCCACTGCTACCACCCCCCATACACTGGCAACCCCACCACCACCCCTGGCGAGAGAGACACTCACCTTCACAGCTCCAGACATCCCCGGGAACAAGAGTCAGGCTCTGCATACCAAAAGCAGCCTCTCTCACATCCCACCTGGTTCCCACGCTACGTGTGTCTCTTTTTCCATCCCTTCTTTCGGGGGGCAGCAGTGCCCCCCTGAAAAATGCTGCTGCCCCCCTGAAAAATGCTGCTGCCCCCTTGAAAAATGCCGCCCTAGGCAAATGGCTTGTTTGCCTTGTGGTAAATATACACCCCTGCACAATATGATAGGGTTTCATCTTATTAAGCGCATCCAAAGGATTGCATTGTCTCAACACACATTGGAAATCAACCCACTTCCTCAGGAGGATGGATGGGATGAATTAATTGCACATGTGCCTAAAATACCAATATGTGTCAACCTTGCAACAGGAGACCTCAACACAGAATGCAGGGGCATTCGTAAGGAGCAACCGATTTTGGAAAGAAGGCTTGTATGACTTAGGGGCTACATATACAGTATACCACCATCCAATACCAGCTCAAGATTATACGTTCAGAATACCACGGTATGCCTTTGGCCCAGGAGCACCTAGACTGCTTCCTCATACAACTTAACCTCTGAAGGTCATTATACTTGTATATACCATCTGTCACACCTACCCTTAGCGTAGGTGGGCAGGCACTATAGCTGGCTCTGTGTTCTTCACCTATAGCAGCCCCCTTTCCCATAAGGCAAACTGGCCTACCAGTACTTGGTTGTCCTCAGGCCTTATATGCTACGGTGCCTGGCCACCACACCAGAGCAGGCACAAGGTAAACACAGCATTTGCGGTTGGCCAACAGGACGAGTGGTCTAAAGGCAGTCTGGATTCAGAGAGTATATAAGCAGAAAAGTGGAACCCTGGACTTCCAACAGGTTGACACATTTTGAGAGACTCTGAGGAAGAGGCTGAGTTCTAAAAACACGTTAGCCTGTTGGAAGTCCAGGGTTTCATTTTTGGACTTATATGCTATGTGGATTGGACACCGCTATTTAGTGTGATGTGGTGTTGACCTGTTTGTCAATTGTGAGTACGATACTTACTTTTTATCCTTCCATTAAATATTTTTTACAATAATGCCCCTGTTTGTTTTTCTTTGTATTCAGTAACATTGGACTATCCCGGTCCATTGAGGGTCCGTTGAGGGCAGCAAGGAGTGCATTTTCCAGGTCATATGAGATGTTACCATAACCCTAGCCAAGTCCATCCCTAAAAGCAGGAGTACAGAGTTTGCTGTGTTTTGGATTCAGAGAGAAGTCATGGTCAAATCCGTACAAATGATTAAACCTGCGCTTAGATTAATACAAAAAATATATAACTTAAAAAATTATTAATTTAAAATAAAAATCAAAGAAAAGCAGCTCACATAAAAGGCAATATAAATAATAAAAATAAAAAAAATGTAATGCTAATCTAAATCAAATTAAATAATCATAAAGTCCAAATATTCAGAAATGTTTCTGTTAAAATGTCCACAGCGGAGTTCACACGATCCACCATCACCAAAACACCTGAATGGTTAAGCCCCTTGCCGGACATTCTGACCCAAACACACAGGTCAATAAACGCAGCCCAAAATGAGGGATGAATATTGCAGATGATGAAGCTGGCATTCCTCCCCAAGATAAATTTCAATCTTCCTCTCATAAGATCTTTACAGGCCTTAACCTCCCTGGCGGTATTCCCGAGTGTAGCTCGGGGTAAAATTTCAGTACCAAGAGCGGTAACCCCGAGCTACACTCGGGCTTACCATGCGGCGGTGCTCAGGGGGTCCCTGCAGCGCTTACCTTGTCCTTCGCTCCCGCGATGTGTCCCCTGCAGCATCCCCAGCCATCTCCTCCAGCCGATGCCGGCATCCGGCTTCCATGTTCCGGTCCCTGTTACATCGGGACGTACGGGCGCCGTAACCGGCGGCAAATTTGAAATTTTTTAAAAATGTCATTTTTTAAAAATGATTATTATATAGTAAAACATTGCTGTTTCAATGCATTTCACGTAGATTTTGTCCCTACTGCTTTGTCCTTTGCCCTGCCTGCATTTTGACTGTTCTTTCTGCCTGGAAACTTAGAAACGTCCATGGCGTCCAAAAAGCGTCCCTTTATGTCAAAAGCAGTTTTAGACCGGCTAGAGAACAGCGATAGTAAATCAGAACCACTTGTAGAATTGAGTGATAATGATTCGTGGGGAAATTCATCATCATCTGAAAACGATTCTGCGACTTTGCTCGGCGATGTGCGAATTTGCCTCTGTATTTCAAATTTCAGTGTTTTTGGTTTTATATTATTGAATTAAATGTATTATTATTATATTATTATTTTTTATGATTATTAATTAAATTATAATTTATGATTTCGTGTTTCAAGTTTTATCATATCCGGAATGTTTACTATGCTCTTGTTCGCACAGATTTTAGTGAGTTATTCCTAAAAATTACAGACTACAATAAAAAACTACATATTTCCATGCAAAAAAATGGTACCGCTTTCAGCACCAAAAATCGGAAATAATCATACCGCTAGGGAGGTTAAAAAAGACCCATCCAATAATCAGATGAGGAATATGAAAAGAAGACCACTCATAGTGTAGTAATTTGAAATTAAAATCAACCAAATTAATACAAGTTACTCGTACATTGTTATGAATGGTTACCAGCATTGAACAAAAGTTTACAACCAAGAAAATGTTCGCCGTCCCTCCAGAACATGGTGACGTCACATGCCGAAGCTCCATCCCACGAGTTTCGTCATCCAATTGACGTTGTCAGGGGCATGGTTAAATCTGTGCTGAAAATCCTGACACCATCCAGAGCAACAGATAGAGCTTCTAAGCAGGTAGCGATACCCTTCCAGTAATGGAAACTTGCTGCTTGACTGCAAATATCAGTCTTCAATATATGAGATGTCCTCCATACATCCGCCTTGGCCAGAATGGCCACAGTGTCCAATGCACATGTTTGGAACCCCCTATATGCGTAAATGTACCACAGGGCTCTTCTGGGACCCAAAGGCTGGTCAGAGCCCATATGCACATCTGCACATGCTAAAGACGAAGGGGCATGGCCGTATCTTGAATTTCCTCTTGAAGTGCTGTTTTTGAATTTTGTAGCATTGTATGAACAGGGATAGAATCTGTACATTAGAATCTAGTCCAAGAAATACTTTTATACATTTTATTTACTTTACAGAGCTATGTGCAATTCAAGTTATACTGCTCCTTCCTGAGTTTGTATCTAAAGTCTCACAAAACTTCAGAGGCAATAAGAACACCATAAATCAAAGAGTTAGCTGGTCTTTATTCACTTCGAAAAAAAAACCTCAAATACAGCAACTCCAGAACACCATCTACACAGGGAATGCAAGGAATGTGTGGACCAAGCAGTGTCCCTTGAACTCCAGAATGTCGTTATATTAGACTTCCATTTATATTAAACTTTCTTGATTTTAAACTTGTCATTTATATGTTCATGTTTTAATAGAGAGCGCTTTTAAACTGTTTTATCATCGAACATCAAAAAAACAACTAGAAAGCATACATAAACGTAAAAACCTTTAAACTATTTTTTTTTTGGTTCTAGGTCTTTTTTTATATGGTGTCTCCCAAAGCACAACTGTAATTCTGTTTGTATAAAGCCGGGTCCCGGATCTAAAAATGTTCTGTAGCAGCTAGCGAGGCTTATGTCTAGAATTTATATGTAATACAATTTCCTATTATTAAATGTGAAACAAGTCTGACCCTGCAATGCAAGGGCAGATGATTTTACATCTATTCTCAAAATGTGCTGTAAAACACAGAATTTATTGTTAAACTGCAAATTGTTTTTTTTTTTCTTTTTCAAGATAGAAAATATAAAAACGAGCATATGGTCAAGTCAATTTTATTCTCTGTGCCAGCATCTGAAAATTAATTAATAATAAGCGTTCTATCGATGCTATATTTGTGCATCTGGATTTTTCAAATTATCTCTCTAATATATTCAGTTATTAATGTTTTTCTTTTAGCACAAGAAAAATGATAGATAAATGAATAGAAAAAAAAGCTGATTTCTTACTTTTTTTTTTGGTTTATTACTTCTTCGGCTTGAAACTAATTTCCCATGAACAATTGGCAAGTTGAAGTTGACTGTCGTTGTTTTATGTGTTACAGGTGTTTTGAAAAGATTTACTTGTCTATATCTTTTTTTACATAATTGCTACAGTTAGTAAAAATCAGTAAAAAAAAACAATTAAATGTTAGTAGTGTACATTCATCGTTGTGGGGCTCATTCATAACTGGGAATAAATGAAGCACATTAAAGCCTAACTGCAGCCATTTTTGGAATACAGTTTAACTGCCTCTCACCCACCATGTAAAGACATGACGGGAGGGTGGCGGTTCTCTCGTTCTGAGAGGACATCATATTGCGCCCTCCCACTCTAACTGCGCATGCACTCCCGAGGAGGGGGGACGAGGCGCGGCGATCGTGGTGCGCTGTGTCCCTGGAACACAGCGGATCACCGATCAGAGTAAAGAGCCGATGACGCTCTGTCATGTGATCAGCTGTGTCCAATCACAGCTGACTGCATGTAAACAAAGAAATGCTGGTTATTGGCAGTCCTCTCCTCATGCTGATAGGGGACATCTACACTGATCATCAGTGCCCATCAATGCCACATACCAGTGCCCATCAGTGCCACATACCATTGCCCATCAGTGCCACATACCAGTGCCCATCAGTGCACATCAATGCCACATATCAGTGCACATCAATGCCGCATATCAGTGCACATCAGTGCCGCATATCAGTGCACATCAGTGCCACATATTAGTGCCATATCAGTGCACATTAGTGCCACATATCAGTGCACATCAATGCCACATATCAGTGCACATCAATGCCGCATATCAGTGCACATCAATGCCGTATATCAGTGCACATCAATGCCGCATATCAGTGCACATCAATGCCGCATATCAGTGCCCATCATAGCTGCCTTTCAGTGCCACCTATCAGTGCTGCCTATCAGTGCAGCCTATCAGTGCCCATCAGTGCTGCCTATCAGTGCCCATCAGTGCTGCCTAACAGTTACAATCAGTGCTGCCTAACAGTTCCAATCAGTGCCAGTCACTGCCACCTATCAGAGCCGCCTATCAGTGCCCATCAGTGTCGCCTATCAGTGCCATATATGAGTGCTGCCTATCAGTGCCCGTCAGTGCTGCCTAATAGTTCCAATCAGTGCCGCCTACAGTTCCAATCAGTGCCACATATCAGTGCTGCCTATCAGTGCTCGTCAGTGCTGCCTAATAGTTCCAATCAGTGCTGCCTAACAGTTCCAATCAGTGCCAGTCATTGCCACCTATCAGAGCTTCCTATCAGTGCCCATCAGTGTCGCCTATTAGTGCCATATATGAGTGCTACCTTTCAGTGCCAATTAGTGATGACTGTCAATGCCCATCACTGCCACCTATCAGTGCCTCCTCATCAGTGCTGTCTATCAGTGCCCATCAATGCCACCACATCAGTGCCCATCACTGCAGCCTCATTAGTGCACATCAGTGAAGGCGAAAAATTACTTATAAAGTTTTATAACAGAAATTAAGAAAAAAAAATTTTTGTTTTCAAAATTTTCAGTCTTTTTTTAGTTTATTTAGCAAAAAAGAAACCCCCCAGTGGTGATGAAATACCACCAAAAGAAAGCTCTATTTGTCTAAAAAAAATTGCTAAAAATGTCATATGAGTACAGTGTTGCATGACCGCGCAATTGTCATTCAAAGTGCGACAGCACTGAAAGCTAAAAATTGGCCTGGACAGGAAGGGGTTAAAAGTGCCCTGTAGGCAAGGGGTGCACGTTTGCGTTTAGAAGCTTTTTTACAGATAATCTCAGGAGACCTTCCAAAATACCCAGAATGCACTGAAAAATAGTAAAAAATTTACAATTTCAGACATTTTGAGAGGAATAGAGAGAGCAGAAGCAGAGAGAGCAGTATGTGTGGAGATGATCTGTCTTTTCTGGTTGTATTCACTATGGATCCCATCATGAGCATATGCGGCACGTTCTACCATTGTTTCCTTCACACAAAACCTGGAACTGACTGCGCTGGTGTACCGGGTCCATTTGAATACATGGAAAACGCTTTGCCTGCATTTCTGATGATGAAAAAAGGCTCTGGACAGCATCTGGATATGGAACTGTTAAAAAACGCTTCTAAACGCAAACGTTTCTAAACACGGTTAGCTGCGTTTACAAGCATTTGGCATTTGAAACGCTGATAAAATCTACTCCTGAACACAAGTTTGATGCATTAAAAAAAAATTACTGTACATGGACACATAGGAAAACATTAGGGAGAGTTCAGGGGCTGCTGAAAAAAAAAAGCAGAAAAGCTCCTGAACGTCAGTTTATCAGCTGCAGTGTACATGGAGCCTAAGTGTGGCTGAAAAAGTCCATCCAGTTCAACCATTAAAAAAAAAAAAAGTATCCCTGATTTTGTGCCCTCTGAGGCTCCATGTACACTGGACACTTCTGAACGATGGAAACTGACTGCTGGAAAACGTAGGTCAAAAAAGTCAGTTTAGCTGCATTTGCATACCGCGTTTATGAGCGTTTGCATTTAGAAACGTTTTTTAAAGATAACCTTCCAAAATGCCCAGAATGCACTGAAAAACAGTAAAAAATGAACTATTTCAGACATTTTGAGAGAAATAGAGAGAGCAGAAGCAGAGAGAGCAGTATGTGTTGAGATTAGCTGTATTTTTTTTTTTTTGTGTGGTGTTTGGATGTGTTCCGGCTCATTTCTGTGCAGAAATTATTGCAGCAGTGTCTAACATTTTCTTTCATGCGAAACCTCAAAGTATGGTGT